TGTCAAGGATTCCATTTTCTCAATATCTTCATCCAGCCTTTCAATCTTGGAACAACCAAAAAGATTGAGAGTTTTCAATGATTTCAAGTCATATATACTTCTTGGAAGATGCTTTAGGCCATTGCAATCTTTTAAATTCAATGAACTAATATGCCTAAGATCTCCAATGGAGGGGTGAATCATAGATAAACTTGGACAATCTTTAAGCATCAACTTCTTAAGGTATGGTAATTCTGAAAAGTCAGGTGTTTCTATTTGGTAATAAGAATGACTCAAATTGAGAACTTTTAACCATTCCAACACCTATGCAAGAAGATTATCCCAAGATAAAAATCATGATAAATATGTAGAAACAATAAAATAGATGGAAAAAGAACATAAATCTTGCTACTAATGTTTAATTCACAAAGTTCATTGTAAATACCTAGCTTTCTTCCCATACTTTTGTGAGGTTACTCCACTTTAAGTCAATGGAAACTATCTTTCTAGGTTAAAGTTCGTTGGTAAGTTTTTCAAGGGAAATCTATGCCAACAAAGTCATCTTAATTCCTTTAATAGATAACTATAGTCTCCATTAAGTTGTACATTATCAAAATTGAGTAAATGAAGCCCTTCCATATTCTCAAATGCCTTAGTACTCAATGATATTGAATTTTTTCCTAGCATGTTCAAAGACAATCCCTAAATAGTTATTGTTCCCTATGAAATAGGAAAAGAAGAGAAAACAAAATCAATATAACATATAATCAACAACTTAAGGAGTTCATAATGAATGATGAAGAAATAAGTATCAAGATTTCAATGAAAAATTTATTAAACTGTAAAATTAAGTTATTCAAAAACATTCTTACCATGTTCTTTCTTAACACATGCAACACATCATCATTACTCCATAATCTTGTATGCTTCTCAGGCTTTCTTGGTGATTGCTCACAAATGATTGCTCTTCCTATATCACGTAGTAAGTCATGCATGTCGAGCCTATTCTTGTTTCTAAGTTTTACAACTTGTAAAAGGCTTCCTTCAATTAGATGAGTAATTCCAATTTCTGCATTAAGACCACAACCATCTAATATTTGAGTAGCATAACTTCTATCCTTCCCAATGAAAAAATAACATATGTCTAGGAATAGCTCCTTCTCCATTTGGTCACTCAAACCATCATAACTTATCTTTAAAATTTCATATGTTTTGCCATTCAAAATTCATTTTAATTTATTCAAAGTGCTTTCCCAATAAGGTATTTCTCTATCAAACAAATATGACCTAAGGATTTTAAGAGCTAGTGGAAGTCCTCTATAATATGATACTTCCTTTCTTGAAAGTTCAATGAAATTTTCTTCAGGAAGTACTTTCTTAAATGCATGCCAACTGAAAAGCTCAATAGATTCATTATCATCCATTTCCCTTGCATTCAATAGTATATCTACTTGAAGGAACTGAAGCAAGCGTTCATCTCTAGTAGTGATAATTATCCTACTACTTTATCCAAGCCATCCATGATCCTTACATAAAACTTTGAGTTGGTCTTCACTACTCACATCATCTAATACAAGAAATACTCTTTTTTTTACAAAGAATTTCCTTGATTAGAGATTTTCCCATTTCTGCATTTGGTAGCTTATCCTTCTTGTTGTTAAGATGCTAGAAAGAAGTTGTTCTTGCAATTCAACTTGATCATTATCTTGCTTCCAAACTTCCCTAATGTTTGTAAGGAAACTCTTTCCTATAAAACCTCTGCCCATTTCATTGTAAATAGCCTTGGCCATTATTGTCTTGCCAATCCCTCCCATCCCCTAAGTGCCGACTATGATTGTCTCATTTGAATCACTACTTAGCACTTGGATGATATCTTGCACTCGAGACTCCAAACCCACTTGATAGCAAGCAACAAATATGTATTTGCTATTGTCTAGCCTCATTATGATTGTTTTGACAACATCATCCAGTAACTCAACTTCAATTCTAGTAACAACAAGAAATAAGATGACAAGAATTATAGTAAGAATCATTAAAATTCATAGTACAAAACTATAATAGCTATAAATGATAACAATAAATTAATATACCACCCTTGATCATCAGCTCAACTATTATGGCCTAACTCTAGAAGATGTGAGTACAAGAGATTCATATGGTATATTATGCCCTGCTATATATAATATATTCTCCCTCCATCCTTATATATAAGAGGTCTTTAAAATCTTTTTTATCCCTAAATATAAGAGGTTGTTAGCATATTTTTTAATGAATAGATTATTATACCTTTATTAAATTGGAAAGAGAAAAAGGTAAGTACTCTTATTAGTTTACTATGAAAAAATAGATCATTTTTTATTTACAATAATTAGGGGCAAAATTAGAATGTTGTTATGCTATTAACTAGATAACTAACTTTTATTGGTTTGCATGATTTGGTTTAAAAATATTTTATATATAAGGATAAAGGGAGTATATCCCTATGCGTATTAAGTTACTTTCACTTACATATATATATAGGGTAAAGTATCAAATTTAGCTACAAACTTTTTTTAGGAGCATCTGGTAGCCTAAACTTTTAGATGGTGCACAATAAATCATGAATTTTAAAAAATGGAGCATCCAGTGGCCCACCATTAACTTTAGCTAACAGACGTTATGTGGGGCCCATAATACACGTGGCATGACACGGGCACAATATGTCAGCATGGTAAAGGTGTAAATTTAGCCACAAACTATTTTTTGTGGAGCGCTGGGTAGCCTTCACTATAAAAAAAATAGACCACCAGTACCTTCCCCTCAAATTTGACCAAACACCATATATTTTCATACTTTTGAGGCCCACAAAGTATTAATATTTTCAATCTTCTTGTCTTTATTCTCAATATAAGTTCCAGAAGAGGTTTAATGAGTTCTTATATGAAATATTCACAAAGACAATGCTAATAAAGTAGAAACTTGATTTTATTGGGCATGATAAAAGTTTGATTCTAGCTTAATTTAGTTATGAATTGTTTCTTGTACTTTGTTAGCATCGTCTTCATGAATATCTTTAGATAAAAACTTTTTGAACCTCTTCTTCTCGAGTTGAGATTGAGAATGAAGGTAAGAAGATAGAGAGATTAATGCTTTATGGGCCTTATAAGTATGAAAATAAATGATATTTGGTTAAAATTGAAAGGGAGGTGTTAGATCATCCATTTTTTATAGTAGAGGCTACTCAGCGCTTCTTGAAAAATAGTTCGTGGCTAAATTTGCACCTTTACCATGTTGATGTATCGTGCCCGTGTTGCATCACATGTCATTATGGGCCCCACATAACGACTGTTAGCTAAAGTTAACGGCAGGCTATTGGATGTTTCATTTTTAAAAGTTTATGATTGTGCACCATTTGATAGTTTAGGCTACCAGATGCTCTCAAAAAATAATTTGTGGCCAAATTTACACCTTTAGCCTATATATATATATATATATATATTTTATGCATAAGTTTGTGACTTTCATTGAAAATATAATAGAGTTAAGGTACATTTTTACTTCTAAACTATTCCTTAAGGAGTAATCAATGTCTAAATTCCTTAAGGAGCAATTTTTTCATTAAAGTAATTAAAGCATAGCATATGTTTCCTTGACGTTAAATACCCCAACATTTACCGTTAGAAATGTTGATTGGGACTTAAACTTGATCAAAAATGCCACTTGTCATGCCATGTGGATCCAAGTTAAGGTGTATTTTTGCTACATTTTAATTACATTAAGGGCAAAATTGCTACGATGCAAATAGTTTAGGACATTGGGTGCTCCTCAAAGAATAGTTTAGGGAGAAAATTACACCTTAACTTAAATCCACTTGGTAAACATTTGTTGTCAAATTTAAGTCAACATTGGAGTATTTAGAATCATGGCCAAATATGCTATGTTTTAATTACTTTAGAGGTGAAATTACTATGAAAAATTGTTTAGGACACTAAATGTTCTTGGGGAATAGTTCAAGGGCAAAAAAATATTTTTTTTATGTAAGAAAATCACCAATGAAGTAACAGTAAATGCTTTTTATCAATTAAGCAAAAGCTATTATTTTTACCATTCAATTATAAACAACATTATCAACACCTACAAATTATATATACACATGATGATTAATAGTAAGTTAAGACTTTTTTTATTGGCAAAAAGAAGGGGGAAAGGAAATTTTTACCAACTACTCCTTCCATTTTCAAATATAAGAGAAACTATCATGTGTCTCTTTGTTTTTACTTGACTAAAATTGTAAATTTCTAGAAGCATTTATCACATTTTTTTCAAATTGTCCCTCATAAAGTCAATTTTTATTTTTCCTAGACAAATTTGTTTCATTAATTATGGAGATAATTTAGTCCATATTTTTAAATTCCAAGCATCATTATTATACTTAACTAACTTTCTTAACTTGTGTGAATTTGTTATTTTCTCTTATATTTAAACATAAAAGGAATACCATAATTTTACACATTTAATATAAGCATTTAACATTCACTTATAATATGCTACTTTAGTTACTTTTGGCCGTCATATGCTTTGTAAATACAATTTCTTTCATTATCACAGTAGGAGGCTTTGAGATCCTCAACCTCTACTTACACCTTACCTTATTTTATTGTTTTATCTAATCTAGCTTTGTTAAATATATCTTTTGTAGACTAGGAGGTTTAAAGTCATGAACTTTTATTCACAGATTGCATCATTCTTATTACCTAAAATAGTTTTTGGTGGCTTTGTTAAATACATTTTTTATTCATCTATTTTTTAAACTATTCTTTTTGGTAATTTTGAGCTATACATGTATAATGTACCAAGATTCCTTTTTTTATGAATTAAACACATCAATATAACTTTTTACATTCCATTTTGTGGATATTTAACTAGGATTATTTCATGTTCATTTAGCGTTTAATTAGATGTAGCTAGGTAAGTAAGTAAAACTAGCTTAATCATGAACACATCCATGTTGCAAACAAAATTAAAGAACTCAATCAAAAAAATATGTAGAAAAATGAACTTAAGGAATTTGACCATTTCAAGAAATAAGGAAAAGAAAATAACAATACTGTAGTTTTACATATCCCATCCTGATAAGTTAGCAGCCTCAACAAGGACTCTCTTCAAATCGTTTGTCAATTTATTACCTTTATTAGTCGAGGGTCTTATTATAAGCCTTTCTAATGCCTTTCCAAATGCATTCTGTTGTTTACAAACTTCAGATGGTTGCACATTGTAGAATATAGGGAAAACCTCTTGATGAGTTGTTTTGTAGCACTCCATGATTTTTTGTAATTCATGCAAGCACCAACTAGAGCCAGCATAATTTTGTGAGAATATGATGATTGAAAATCTCGAGTTTTCAATGGCCTGAAATAATGACTCTGAAATATTTTCTCCCCTTTCAATCCCTTCTTCATCCATGAAGACCTTAATACCTACTTGTTTTAGGGAAAGAGAAAGATGAGTAGTGAATGATTTACAGGTATCTTCTCCTCCAAAACTTAAGAATACATCGTGGACATAATTGAGATTTTGCTTATTAAGATGAATTCCTCTTCTTATCTCTTGAAGTAAATCATGAACATGAATTTTACCATTCACAACCTTGATAAGGTTCCGTTTAATCATTTTATGCATTCCCTCTTCTACATATAACTTTGATCCCTTTAACAATGTTTTAACATAGTGGCTACTTTGACCACCATAAACATAGGCTATATCACAAAATAACTCTTTCTCTGAATTAGTCAAGTAGTCAAGGCTTATTTTCAACTTTTGTTGTATTTCACCATTAGGAACTTTTTTCAATGTATTTAATACTTTTTTCCAATCAGGTATTGTCCTTTCATACAGTAGAGAGCCAATAACTTCAAGAACTAATGGTAGTCCTTCACATAAAGCAATTACCTTCCTTGAAAGGTTTGCAAAATCATTTGCTGGACTAGATTTCTTAAATGCATACCAGCTAAAAAGCTGAACAGACTCATTATTGTCCAACCTTTTTACTTGATATGATATGTTAGCAAAGGACCAAGTAAATCTTTATTTCTTGTTGTAATTAATATCAAGCTCCCATAATAAAACTTACCATTATTTCCATAAAGATCCTTGATTTGGTTTATGTGATTGACATCATCAAGGACTACAATGGCTCTTTTATAGAGTACATTCTCTATTTATTCGTGTTCACTTTTAGAAATATCTAAAAGAAGTTGCCTTTATAGAAGAAATCAACCATTATCTTTGTCCCATACATGCTTGATATTTTCAAGGAAACTTTTACTCTCAAAATTGTGACCAATTCTATCAAAAATAGATCTAGCAAGAGTAGTTTTGCCAATTCTTCCAACTCCCCATATTTCGACTATGACTGGTTTTATATGAGCTAACTCTATTAGGAGAAGCACTTTTTTCACATGAAGTTGTAAGCCTTCTTGTGATATGGCTTTTGTGATCAGGTCATTGATTTCATTCCAGTGACAAGAGGTAGCCATTTAAGAATTAGAATTTAAAATAAAATTTAAAAGTTAAATAGCACTCTGTTTTAATGTAAGTCATCAAATATCAAAAACTGGGTTGCATAGTAGAGCTATAGATAATATTACAATAATACACTAACATCTTTGTTTCCCTTTATGCAAAATGTAAAATCAAACCTATAAGGTTGTGGCAAATCCTATAATTACCTAACTTGCTCCTCAAGCTTTCATGAAGGAAAAAAGAAAAAGCGACCTTTATTTTAAAAAAATGAAAAATTAAAGGGAAGGGAAATCGAACGAAAAGCAAGGAAATCAAATAGAACGCATGTGGCTTAATTAAACAACTCAAGGCTTAAACATGTCAAAATCATGGCAAAAAGGAAATTGAGGGTCCTCATATTTCCTTAAACAACTTAATGCATGCTCCTCAATCTCATTTTTATATTAGTGAATCAAATTTGATGCTCTGAATCAAGGCTTAAACAACTCAAAATCATGGCAGTAGAAGAGTGTAGTAAAGAAGTAATAGTAGTAGAAGAAGAGTGTAAAAAGAAGAGCGTAATGAAGAAGAACACCTTAGAGTGGCAGATTTTGTTGCTACCTAGGTTAAAAATGAGTTCTCTTGGGCAATATTCACAAAAAAAAATAGATAAGGATTGACAATGGAAAAAATAATTTTACTCACAGAATTTCTTTTCTCGTAGAGAGAAAATTTAGAAAGAAAATGTAGTAAGTGCAAACCCTAGCATCTCAAGAGAATTCCTCTTCTTTCCCATGTATGAAGTTTAATTTTCTCACTCACATCAGCTATACATAAAGCTCAACTAGTCCCTACCATAGTATGAAAAACTAAAATGGTTGTCTGATCCAACTGGAAAATCGGTCATGTGTCCCAGCTGATTTGATAATTTTATTGCTTGAAAGTTGACCTAAGTGACCTGAGAATCTACCATATTTGATCGCTTAACTCCACAAGTTAGATTGGGTCAAGTGGTCCAATGTTTTTCTTGTTCTAGAAAGGTTCAAAGCATTAAAAAAATCAAGTACACTAGATCAAATCCTTCTACCTTAATACTCAAATTTAGCCTCCTTCAACCTTCATCTTTGTCTTCATTTCTAGGTGCAGCAACTTCCTTCTCTTATTAGCATTCTCAGTCGTTAACCTTAAACCCAGAGTGAGGGAGTTTGTCTTTACTACCATAATTTGTACTCTTCCTTCTACATGTGCTAGTGCATCTAAAAGGAAGGTTAGGAGATGTGGAGGTGTGAAAATGGATGATGGGAGAGGGAAATGGCATTCGAAAAGAAGGAAGAGAGAAAAAGACAAAGAAAGAAAAGTAAGGGAGGGAGGACTGAAGGAGGAAGAAAGAGAAAAAGTGAGGGAGGGAAGAGTGATTCATGATGAAAGAGAAAAAGAGGGAGGGAGAATGGTGGGTTCTAAAGAAATGTGATTGCATACTTAAAAATGACAAAATAATTGGGAAAAGGAAGAGGAAAAACTAAAATTTGACATGAACTAATATTAATAATAAGTGAAATAGTTCCAAAGACATTGATACGAATGAATGTTTTAAGAATTAACGTCCATTTATTTCAATTATATTATTTTATCAAGACAGGTTTGATTCTAGTTTGACCCTAGTTGAACCATCAACCCTTGAACCATTGTCTAAACTAGTTTAATAACTAGTCCAATTTTCAATACATTGATCCCTACAGTATATCTCTTAAAAATACCCAATGCATGATTTACCATTTTCTTAATATTTTTGTCTAAAAATTATAATATTAATCACATATTTATCAATAACAAATCACAATATTTATAAATTTTTTATTATATTATAATATGTAAATTAGAAAATATATTAATTTAGTATTAATCAGTTTTTGACTACAATCCTATCAATAAATTGTAAATCAATATCTTACCAAATTAATGATAGGTGAAAACATTTCTTCTACTTTCTCATGCCTAGATCCCATGCAATATATTTGGTGTAGTAAATGAGAAGTAGAGAAATCCTGATAGTACATTCTATCCACTTTTTTTGGAATATCATGGAAAGCTTAGTTTAATAGGAAGGAAAACAAGACACTAGTTTGCCATCGAAATGGCAGGTATTTCTGAGTAAAAAAAAATTAAAATAGTTCATAGGAACCATCTACATAATTTGCAAGTCAACGCTATCATGATGGGCATTCCTAGCTAGTTGATCCACACACCTTCCAAGAGCATGTAGTAAATAATAGGCATGAGCATCCTAGGAACAATAAGAGGAGAGGTTCATTAAGCAAGTTATCTAACTTACTTGAGATGAAAATCCTTATGATTTGTAAGTAGCTCCAAATGAGGTAAACTTTGAGTTAAAACACTTATTGCTAAATGCTCTTCCTAAGTTCTATGGGCTCCCTAGTGAGGATTGCCATAGGTTCCTCCATAATTTCTTCCTTGTGTGCAAAAACATGAAACCCCCACATGTTAGGGTAGATGAGGTTCAAGCTAAGGCTTTTATGTTTACTTTAGAAAGTGTTGCCAAATAGTGGTATTTTAACAACCCCTCTTACATTAGGGTTCACACTTGGGCTGATTTGAGAAGATTGTTTCTTGAGAAATTTTTTTCAAACTCTAAATTTTTAAATCCCAAGAAACAAATCTATAGTGTTATGCAAAGTGAGGATAAAATATTTATGAGTATTGGACTAGATTTTAGAGTCTTTTGGCTAAATGCCTTCACCATCAAATTACAAGTGAGAACCTAAACCAATACTTTTATAATGGTTTGACTCCTAAAGACAAAGTGAACATTGATGCTGCTAGCGGTGGGTTCCCTTATTGACCTTAGTGCCTTGAAAGCTTAGGATTTTCTAGAAAAGACGGCTACCAATGGAGGTCAATACTCCATTAGGAATAAAAGAAATGTGTCTTCCATGAATGCGGGTTTAAATGATAATCAACATGAATTGCTTGCTTTGAAGAAAGGTAAAATGCTTTCTAATTCACAAGGTACATTTAGCCAAGGTAATGTGGCCCAAATTTCTCAAGTTGCCATGCGTTTTCCACCCCAAGGTTCCCCATATGCAAGCAATGTAAGTATGTCCAATTCTCTTATGCCTTACTCTTGTACTATATGTGGCTCACCCATGCATGTAGATGTTAATTGTCCATATCAAGTCAAACAAGTGAATGCTATGTATGGGAGGCAACAATTCAATCAAGGGAGAGGAGGCCAAGGTGGAAGGATGTACTTCAACACCTAAAACCCATCATGGAATAACCACCATAATCTTTCCTATGCTAACAAGGTGCTTCATTATAAGAGGAAATTCCAAGGGGAGGGTACGAAGGAAGTCAAGGCCAAACTAACTAGGTTCAAGAAGGACCAAGCTCTAGTTTTGATTAAAGGGGTAATGCACTTCTACCTATTTCTTTTCCCAGTAAACAAGTTATTCCAATAATTAGGAAAAGAGAGGTGCACAAAAAGTTACAAAGCATACAATTTTTTTTTCCTACTCTTTAAAACCTAATTTTTTTTCATGTATGGTTAAAATAAAAAAAAATAAATTTTCATTTGTTCCATTCCTTGTTTTTTAATTTCTCCTAAACATTGTATGAGAGAGAAGCCAAAAGTAGAGTACGATTTTTGCAGAATTGTTAAAATGAAAAAAAAAAAAACATTTCATTAGATAGAATCCACACTACATCGTTTTGGTTTAAATAATGAAGTAACTTTTTTATTGTTAAAAAAAAAAGAGAATATTCATTAGATAGAATCCACGCTCTGCATCATCCTTAAAAAAAACAAAAAAAGAGTTTTTGTTACATAAAAAAAGCTTATAAGCTTTGCTGATGATAATGTTCTTTGTGCGCCTCTATTCAGCCATTAGATAGAATGCACTATCAGAATCTCTTCACTTCCTAACCACAGCACAAAATATATTGCACGAGATCCAAATCCCTGCTCTCACTTTGACACTTAGCCCTTTGATTGAAAATTTTTTTGTGGTAAAAAAAATTATTGAAAGGAATTGGATAAGAATATTCTAAATCAGCTTTAAAATCTTTTTTTGGTAATCGTATTTGGTATGAATAAGAATTTAAATAGAATTGCATCATAATTTTTATTTGGTATGAAAAATTAATGAAATTGAAGCTTTAAAATATAAAAAACCAATAACACCCCATCTTCCCCTCAAAAGACTTTTCTAGCCAACCAATTTTTAGGGTGGGTTTCTCTTTCTTATTATTTCTCTCCATTTCTTTTTTACTGCAAATATAAATCGTTCAAATTAAATATATATTTTTAAAAATTGTGAAATTTAAATCATCAAATCTAATTTAACAGTGCAAAAATTTGAGATTCTCGTCACATGACCACATGACTCAAACCAAATGTGTCCCACAATCCAATTTCTTCTTCACTTTCCTCTTGATAATAACCGAAGAAATCCAATCGTCATCTTAACCAATGGTTGAATATGTCAAATCATAACATTATACTCAAAAGCCAAAAGGATTTATATTTCGGAGTCCCTCCACTGTATAGAATATAGAGCAAGGATTGCACTGAAAAGATTTAAATTTTTTCATTTTTACGTTTATTAAAAATTATAAAACTATAAGAAAAATTTGATAACACTACTTGATCACCACTCTGAGCTTTAAAGGGTCCTAATTTATAAATTGACTATGTAAATTTATGCTAAACATTTTAGATTTAAAGTTTTTAACCTATAATTTTTTTAAAAATTTCATGTTAGAAGAATAACCATATTTTAAATTTTAATATTATATTACTTACCAAAACAAAATATATAAAAATAATAAAAAATTAAAAAAATTAAATTTTCACTATCAAAAATATAACTGGATAGTCAATTATTGTAAAAATTATTAAAATTTGAATATTAAATTAAATCTTTTGAACGGTTCAAAATTGATTATCAAGTGAATTTATTAAATTTTTTATAGTTTATATAAATTGTGTGTATATATATATTTTGAAATCTAGATCGTTGACATCTTTGTAGGGATTCAAGTCCAAGCTAAAAGTCTCCGGTCTTATTTATAAATTATTTCTATCAATTTTATTAATACTAATACAATAAAAATACAAGGAATAAAAATTAATAAATTTCAAACATAACTCTCAAAAAATAAATATAACTATATAATATTTTTATGTTTTTCTCTCTTTCTCTTATTTTTAAGGGTAGTTTAAACATTTTATTTTAAATAAAATATCATTATCAATCTAATAATTTATAAATTAAATCACTTAACCCTTTTAAAAAATAATTAATTAATAAAGTGGATCGGAGAGAGTACATGATATTAGAACCTAAACAATTTATAGATTCTATAAATTATTTAAATGGTAAAAAGCATAAAGTAAGATCATAATTAAAAATTGATTTGTTACCCTAAATCACGTGGCAGCAGTGTGTAGCCGGATAGCCAAGTAGCGATTCGCATGTTGTCATATGATCTTCGACTCGAACTCTCCAACAGCTCATGCACTTGCTCCTGGCTCCCTCCATCGAGCACTGGGAGAACTATTTTATTCATAGTATCACGATACCACAGGACATCCTCCACTCCAGTAAGATACAAGTCAGCCTCCTGGAAGTTTTGTGTGAAACTAAACAAAACAAATCTACACCTTTTTATGGTCTCATGGTGGATGGAGGAGAACCGATTCTCCTGCTGCGGCTTCAGATCGCCGCCACCGTCATCATCGTCAAAGAAAGTTGTGAATCCAGCCTGTTGTAAAGAGTTTTCGAGGGAGGCTTTCAGTGCACGACCTTCATCTGGGTCTCTCAAAATTATGAAGAAATCGTATCCGAAGGTTGTGGATTTGGATTTGGATTTGGAAGATGAAGAGGCTGAAGAAGAAGACATGGTTAATTAATTGCTAATGGCAAAGCGCTATGAAGAAGATTTGGCTTTGCAGGAAGCGTAATGGCGAGTGATGGAGTCCTAAGTATAAATAGAAGAAGCTCAGGACACAAAGTCAACAATGTTGCTTGAAGATATTGGCTCTTTTGTTTTGTTTTATTTTTTTTTAAGAAGTGGTTAGTATATTTTACTCAATTTTTAAGTAAAATTAATAACTAACTACATATGCTTAATTTTGAAATAAAAAGTAAAAGAAGTACTTTCTCCTATTCCATTTATAGTGTACATTTTAAAATATTTATTTAATTATATTTTTAAGTCATGGTGTGACTTATAAAAAATATTTAAAATATATTTTTAAAATTATTCTTAATAAAAAAAGTGACATGATATACTTTTAAAATTTTTATATAGAGACATACTTTAAATTCTGCAATTGTCACCGACAATCCCACACCCATGCAGCCACTAATTTTGAACGACCCACCATGAGGTGTAGTCCCTCCAATCCGCCTTATTATTGGTGAGTTTCTAGAAAGAAAATGTATTCCACATTATTAATCATTTGTTGGTGATGATTGTACATATTAAAATAAGTTTCAAAACACCCTTCATCATCTAACATTTTTCACTATGAAGGAAAATTAACCGTTCCTTTTTTATTGGGAATAATTTTTTTGTAGAGTATGAGAGAAAAATATAAAAAAATAATATTATATTAATTGGATTATTTTTTATTTTTCATTTAAAATTTAAATTTAAAATTATATTTGTAATTATTTTTTATATTTTTATTGTATTAGTATTAATAAAATTGATAAAAAAATTTATAAATAGAATGAGAAGAAATATATTTTATTTTTTTATGTGCAACTGTTTTTAGATGTGACATGATAACCAAGTAATAAATTAATTATTGCATAACAATAGAGTATATTTTATCTTTTTTATATACAACTCTTTTTAGACGTGATATAATAACTAAGTAATAAATTAATTGTTGCATAATGAGGGAGTATATTTTAATTTTTTATCTACAACTGTTTTTAGATGTGACATGACAACTAAGTAATAAATTAATTGCTGCACAAAAATTTGAAAGGACAACTTTTTTATTTATTTATTTTGTTTACTCTTGCGACATATTGTTAAGTAGGAGAAAGACAGTTAGGTCTTAAAATTTTAAATTAATGATAATTAAATTTTTAATAATTTTTTTAAAAAAATAGTTAAAAATATCAATTTAAATAATTATAAATTTAGAATTTTTAATTACAAATAAATATTTAAATATTGAATATAACTCTTAGATTGAAATATAGATTGAAATAAAAGTTTTTATTTGTAATTTAAATTAATATTTATAATTTATTTCCTAAAAAATTTTGTTGAGAATATAATTGTCATTAATTCAATATTTTAAGACTTAATTGTCATTCTCTCTTGTTAATTTTTTACAATGAAGGAAGGCTACGTGCTACATTTTTACAATGTATACACACACACATTGGTGATAGTTTTAATTGATGAGTTAAAGGATATTGCTTTCCCTAAACTATTTGTTCACAAACATTTTATATTCTAATTATTTATGTATTGCAATTTCACCATGTAACATTAAAAAATGATACATTGAAAATACCAGTAAAAAAATTAACTTTAACCATTAATTAACTTACAATTATAGAAAAGAATCTCAAAAATTCTAGAAAAGGACCCATGAAATTACACAAGTACACCATCAATTAAGTTTCCAAAATTTCATATAAATAATAGGATACAAATATTATTTCTTATTTATGTAAAAGGCCAAAATACAATTTTTAACCAAACATTATTTTAAGGACAAAGTGCCCAGTAGATTATTTTCAAATATTTAAAATGAAAATTACACTACATATAAATTTAAAATACTATACATTCTTGAGAGAATATTGAGTGACAAAAATTTCCTTTAATCTTAATTAATTAAAAAACGTTTTGTGTTTTAGAAAATAACATAGACAGCTTCATCATCGATTTGTTAGTGAGAGGTGAAAAAAATTTACCAAGATTAATAAAGAATAAGAATGAAACTGGTGGAATCTAACCTTATGAAGTTACTTTTGTACTTGGTTGATTTCTACACATTTTCTCTTTGTTTGTTTTACATTAAAACAAATAGAAATATCTAACTTCTCTTTTAAACTCTTCAATTCAATTCTAGAATTTTAATTTGTCATGGTCAATGACTTAATTTTGTTGCAAAATGCTTGCTCCTTGAGGATAAAATGACCTAAGGTGCTCACATTACTACACCTTAGTTTATTTAAGAAGTTTGACATGATTAAGGGCTTTTCAGATATTCAACATGATTCACTAAACCCTGTATAGCTTACATTCCACAAAGATCACTAATGAATTTTGCAGAGTATTGAGAACTACACAGCTTGAGGATGAGTATTTTTTAGGAACACCAAAAGATATAGAGGAAAAGCGAACCATAGACTTTAATTTCAGTGATGATGGGTTTGTTGTGTACCAAGATAAGGTTGTGCACCCTATAAGGGTGATTTGAGAAAGAAAATTTTGGATCAAGCACACAAGAGTAGATATATGAAACATTTAGGGGTAACTAAGATGTGTTACGATATGAAGTGGTATCAGTTGTATGATAGATTTTGTATCCCATTGTTTGATTTGTCAAAAGGTCAAAGTCAAGCATTGAAGAGCAGCAAGGACATTGCAACTATTGAAGATACTGAAGTGGATGTGAGACAATATTTCTATAGATTTTGTCTTAGTATTGCTAAGGACACTGTCTGGTCATGATTTAGTTTGGGTGATTGTGGATAGGTTGACAAACTTAGTCCATTTCTTGGCAGTATGAATAAAAGATTCTTTAAAAAGTTGGTAGAAATCTACATTTAAGAAATTTTCAAATTACATGGGTTGCCTAAGGATATTGTCTCTAACCATGACCTAAAGTTCACATCAAACTTTTAGGGAGAGTTGCAGAGAGAAATGGCCACTAATTTAAAATTCAACATAGTATCATTTATAGACTGATGGAAAAATAAAAAGAACTATACAGACTTTAGAGGATGTGTTGAGATCTTGTGCCTTGATGTTGAGAGGCAATTGGGATAGTCATTTACATTTGGCTAAGTTTTTCTATAATACTAGTTTCCACTCTAGTATAGGGATGGCATCTTATAAGGCACTATATAGGAAGAAGTGTCGATCCCCTCTTTATTAGACTGAGTTAATTGAAAGGAGCATTCTGGGACCAGACATTGTGAATTTGACCACCTACAAGATTGAGGTGATTAGGCAAAAGTTATTGATGACACATAGTAGGCAAAAGAGTTATGTGAATAAGTGTGGAAGGTTGTTATTATGTTATAGTGGGTGATCACGTGTTTTTATGAATCTCACCGATAACAAGAATTGAGAGGCCAATTAGAGCAAAGAAACTATCTCCCTGATTCATGGGCCTATTTGAGATTCTTAGGAAAGCTAGGCTGGTTGCCTATTATAATGCACTCAATGACATTACCATTCAATCTTTCATGCAATCTACTAATCAATTCAAAACCATTTATTTTGAAAGTTTTGGGATCCCAAGATAAAATATTTTTAAAACCCATTCTTAAAATATTCGAGTTGTAAAATACTACATAGTAGAAGCATTATTCATAAGCACATCAAAATTAACAATAAAACCAAAATAAGCTAAAACAGGGGCCATGCACTGCGACTTGTGCCACATGTATCGTAGTATGTGACATAGAGGCTTAAGCAGCATGCTCTGTGCCATGCACTATGGCATGTTGTCCCTTGTTAATATATGCACTATGGCGTGTACCTCAAAATTCTACTTTCAAATTGCAAAATCTGATGCAAACTTCAGATATGCACCATTTTCACATTCAATGTCCGATTGGGGTAATTCAAGTACTTATACGAAGCTTATTTTAAAATCTAACTAATGATAGTAGTCTTATTTAAATCTAATATACCATTCAAAAATTGGACATCCAAGTACATTTTGACAACTCTTTAGTCAAAATTTACCACTTGAACATCACCATTTGAAATCACAAGTCATTGGCCACTTTTAGAGCCTTGACCACATCCAAATGGACAAATACCACTTGCTTGAACAGTTATATACACAATATAACACACATATACACATTTGGCCTGTAAAGTACCCATCACACACTATTGGGCATATTTCATATTTCTCAATCTCATTCACATCCAAGGCTAAATTCAACACATACATCACATATATCTCACCATCATATTCTCAAACATCCATTGTCTAGCCCACACTAACATTTTATCACATACTCACATATATACAAGTCTATTGTTTAGAACTCACAAATCACACACACATATACACATTCACAAGTTTATGCACAAGTATTGATTACTATGGTAACTTATATACAAACATTCAACTACTAATATGCAAGTTCATTACACCCAAGCTTACAAGGCTTTATCGATAATTCATAATTCTTAGCCTGAATCTTTTCCTTTAGTACCACTACTACCAGAACTTAAAAAATGTAAATAACCACTTGTGAGATAATAATTTCAATAACCATTATAGCTCATTTAATAGTTCATTAATACAAATAACCATGGTAAAGTAACAAAATCAAAGTAATAACTTCTATATATATATATATATATCAAAAGTATATAGACTTTCTTCTTTTCAAAGCATTTCCACACAATTACTAACAATACACTACTACAAAATAAGCTTATAGGAGTGCTTTTTTTAGCCTTAGGGAGTATTTCCAAAGCACTCCCGTATCGAGCGCTCTGAAATATACAGGAGCCTTTTTGATAAGCGCTCTTGTATATCTACTTTAAGATAATATACAGTAGCTTATATGGGAGCGCTCTTTTGAAGAGCCCTCTCGTATATCAACATATGGGAGCACTCTTGACATGAGCACTCCCATATGTCCATATTCAGGAGCGCTCTTTTCAAGGGTGCTCCTGTATGTCGATATATAAGAGTGCTCTATTGAAGACTGCTACTGAATATCATAGCCCTC